CGCAATAAGGCAATTCAGAATCTTGTGCATCTGAGTTTGCAAAGTTATGCAATTGCAAATATTTATGAACGGCTTTTATTTTTTTTTTTTCTGTGTAACCCTTGCAAAGACCATTAATTCACAGCTGCTCGGTGAAGAAAAACATTGCAAACAAAATTTTCGCACAAATTGGAAAATATGCCGAGAAAAAGTTTTGGGGAAAAATTAACTGACGCTTTATTTGATGAAGCTGCTGGAGATATTATGGATAYTGATGGTAAGAAATATTTTTATGTGGCACATAGCAAAAATTTCAAATTTCTTGATTTTTAATTTACAAAAATTTCTTCTCTTTGTTTACAATGTTTTTATTTTTGACAGCAGCTGGCAATTTGCAACCCAGTTTTTCAAATAATACAATGGCGTTTTAGTGTTGCTTATTTGCAAGGGTGTAGCAGGTGCATCGCTATACATTTTGTTAGTGTAAAAGCAAAAATATGCTGGCTAATTTGCGATTGCAAAGATGTAAGACCATTTGCACAAGATTCTGAATWGCCCTAACAACTAMTCAGATTCCCATGATTTAATAGAATTTTTTATACTTTTGAGTAGACAAAAATGTCCTTTTACTTGTTGCAACAACAGTATGTTGAATGAGCATAAAATAATTTTCAATGACTACAAAAAAAACTACAAATATTCTCATATGTGTGTAATATCACATTACAAACTTACATTCCACAAAAACAAAAACAAATAATACAAAAAAAAATGGTCAGAGAAACTTTTCCCTGTAATTATTAGTCTGGTTAACAATCGGAAAGGAAATTATCGCTGTGAAAGGCTTTGTGGTTGACAGGCAAATGTTAAATAAAATTCCAGTCAAGGACTAGGTGCTACAACAACAACTARTGCTTACAGCGCTACATTTAACGYAAACCACTACGACAGCGATAAAAASTACAAACAATAAAAAGTTATTATCAGCAACAAAATAAAAAGGTTTAACCAGCAAAATACTATAAATAAAACATTCAACAACTACGATAACTACAAAAACAAATGAGCAATAAAACCGAAAGAGCCGAGAAAAAACCGAAATTCGCTACTTCAAAGTGAAACCACACAGAAATTGGCTGCGGTTGGTAAGCCCGTGAGCCAGCCAATGTGGAAGAGTGTGTGTGCAACAAATACAAAAACCAACAAAAAACCAAAACTAACAACAACAACAATGTTGGTATATAGTGCGAGTAATGTGGTACCTTGACAGCAACAATTTCAGCGTAACCTAAAGTGCCGCCATGTAAGGTCGTGACCGAGCGCTTCAGCCCCTAAAAACACGTTATTTTAGTAAATTAATATAAACRTAGCTGTAAAAATAATGCGCAGCATTTTAAATGAAATTACTGTTATTTTTTTTGGCAATATTTTAATACCGTTAGCAGCGCAGCTGTTCTTTGAAATCGAATTATTTGCAACAAAACAGTTTCGGTTAGCTTGTGGACTAGCCGCCGCTGCATGTACTCACCTTCACCGTTTGGAAGACATCAATGCCCGGATGGCCRACATCACCCTTTTGACCTTTGTCGCCCGGTCTGCCGGCAGCGCCCTTCTCGCCGTTCACACCATTGACGCCCTGTCATGTGAAAATGAGCAATAAATATCATAACCATATTCACCAGCMCAGCAACAGTCGCGCAACAGACGTTTGCGGGCGCMAATCTGATACTTACCGGATCACCCTTTTCGCCCGGGTCGCCCTTCTTGCCACGTTTCCCCCGTTTGCCCGGTGGGCCTGGTGGTCCAGGTGGCCCTAAAAGAAACGTAGAGCAATACTTTAGTATTGAGRCATAACAATAAAGCAATGTGAAATTTATTATTATATCCAGGAAATTGCACTTTCAATTTAAACTTTAGAAGATTAAGTGGAAACGCGAAACTGTTACACCAAAAAACAACGAAGGACACGCATGGCTGTGCAATGGCAACRGCGCGGGGCRGCGCGGCGTCGAACGCATTGGCAACATCATAGCAACGTCAATGGTGCTTAAAGAGCTGTCGCACTAATTCAGGCACCGCAGTCGCGGCGGTGGAGGGTATAACGGTCTGATTATTGTGCGGCAATCGACTGCCTGCTGTGTGGCACTCATTAAACTTCTATTTAAGCCCCCAAAAGTGTAGTCGCGCAGCTAGGCAACCGACGCGTGACGCTTGTGGTGTGCTGCGCTGTGGCTTCGAAAAACGAGAAAACTTTAATGTAATTGCAGTTGCACTTAATTTCGCAGTGACTTTATTCATTAGGTGCCTCCACCGCCATCAAGCTAAACAAGAAGAGTGCGCTCGGCACCCCGAAGCCCAATTGCATTGCTGTTACACGCGCGCTAAGTGAAAGTGCAATAAAAAAGTACTCCAGCTTTCGCTGGAGTTGCAATGCACGCTTGCCCCTTTGGATGACGGCGCCGCCTACTCGTGACCCGCGACTATCGCTAGTCAGCAGTTTCGCAATTACTCGCCGCACTGCCTGCAGTTTGAGGCTTTCGGATGCGAGTACAAGGGGTGGCGGYAATGGAGAGCGACTAACCAACAATTACTCCGCTCGCTTGACGCTACGCATCCTGCGCTATATTTATACGAATATTCGTWAGACTAAAAGCTGTGATGGATAAGCCGAAAAAGGGTTGCCAAACTCGCGAAAGTTTCGGTATTTGAAAGTTATTTTGTGCATTGTATTGTAATTACAGCCGCAATTGTGGTTTTCATTCTATTCAATRTAATAATTGTAATAGTAGTAATCGATTGAATTGTAATTGTTCATGTACTTGTACTTGTAAATACCCTGAATTYTAAGACCAATTGCGACAGTGTTTGAAGTTGGTTGGAAAGATTTTTCTAGAACTACTCCMCCGATCTTCATGAAACTTTACATGAAGAATTTTTTTCGATTACAAATATTTGAAAAAAAAGTGTTGCAAAATTTTCACTGAAATTTACATTTTTTTGTAAAAATGTCTGTCAAAAATCTAATTTTCAGTATTTTCCCTTCGCGTTTAAGTTCTAAGTAAAAGTTTTAGTTAAAGCACGTATGTTTTTTACTTCAGATGATCCCGTAAGGAGTTATCTTTCCAACTCGGGCGCATATTGTTTTCGAGCGGGCACCGGAAATGGCATCGCATCGGTTGAGTTTGAAATATTTTGTTCCAAAAATTTCAGAATTTCTTTGATAATAGTAGACAATTAAAAATTTCATTTTTTATATAATATGAGAAAACCCCTTAATACAATTAAATATTTTCACTTTGGTCTCCCTACCACAGTGTATATGGTGGAAAGCAAATCCATTCTTCTGCGCACTTCATTGCACTGTAAGACTGATTGCTGATCCGTAATCAGTTGGCATTCCTTATTGCAGTCGACAGCTATTGCGACCATAAAGTAGCGACACAAACCGTCCTCTCCAATGTTGCTGGTAGCAGAAGCAATGACAACTGCAATAATTGCTACAGCGCAGCAACAATGTACAAAATATGTGCATACTTCAAGGCGCGCACCAGTTTACGGTAAATACGAAGCGCAGTTCCCTATGTGACGACGCTGCTAAATACCGAAAATGCGATGGAGATTAAATAAAGTAGGTGTGAAAATATTTAATTAAATTACAGCAACAACGAAATAGTGACAACACAAAGCAAGTGAAGATGTGATGGCAGGAGCCRAGTTAGAAGAACAAGCGAATCCTACAGAGCACAGCAGCAGAGCTTAAGGAAGGAAAAAGCACAGCAGCTTATTATCAGCACGAGAAACGTTGGCTGTGAATGGAGGCAGCATTTGTCAGCGCTTATGCGACTGTTCGAGCGTGCTTAAATTAACTGAGTTAACTGTAAACGAGCGGATGGCATGTGATAGCCGGCACAACAAAGAAACGTACAAATTAAAAAAGAAAAAAAAGTAACTACAACAACAAACGGTGATACTGTAGACTAAGTGATAATCTTAAGTGAGGACTGCGAAGGGGCGCCACTTTCACTTTTCGAATCAAATCCTAAATATCAAAACAACAACAAAACGCGACGGAGGTAAATATACTGCAGACTGAATGATGAAAAGTGAAATTGCGGTGGCGTAGTCAATCTAACTGTAACCGCATTAGTGCAGAATTTCGGACCAGCGCCATCCACTTTGAGTCCAAAGTAATCAGAAGGTACTTAAGACTTCATTTGGCGACTCAAAATGCAAACGCTTGGAAAGGCAGCGACTTAGCTTATTTGTTATAATTAAGTAATTTTCATTGAAATGTGAAAAGTGAAATTAGAAATACGAACGAGTAACGGTAAAATGAAGGTATCACAGTTATGGCTTGTGTGTTAGTGTGTTTGAGTGCTTCTTTTAGTTTGGTGGTGAGTGAACGAAGACAATTTAAATTCATTAAATACTACAAAGCGCACCTCAAACTGCCTGAGAACCGCTCAAACGTACAAGGTGTCAAATCGCACCGCAAGCAGTTAGGCGCGGCAGGCGATGAAGTTGTAGGCTTTCGCGTGGAACGSCGTGTTTTGTAGYAAAAACGACTTGTCGTCGTTTAAGATGTCAAAGTTTCGTGCATCTAATTAAAACAAACGAGAAATTACAATTCAACTGATAAAATTAACGCGCAGGAAGAGAGCAGAACCGTGAAGATGATAATGTAGTAATTGAAGATTGGAGCAACTGAAGCAAATAACGCGTGGGGTTTATTGGCATTTCACCGGATAAACTAAGCAGTTAAGTAATTGGCGGTAATATCTGATAACAAATTATAAAACGGCAACTTCATTATTGACTGGTGTAATCAAGTACTTTAAAATGTAAACATATTATTATGTAATGCTAGGAATTGCGTAGTGAAAAGTGTGCTGATACTTATTTGCTAAGAAATTTGTTTATTTTTTTATTATAGATATTATACTTAAAAATGAGTATTAATTGTCAGCATTACCATTAATTACATTTTCCAATATAAATGACTAGCATAATTGCGAGTTAACTTTTAATTACAAATGAATATATTCCTTTGTATGCAGTAAATGTCCAAATGTGGTGAAATATTGCGTGTAATGCAATGTAATTGTTAAAGTAATTAAAAAGTAATTTGATTATATTTTTGGTTTCTTTTGATTACTATCCATCACGTTGCTAATAACAAAAAACAACAGTTGTTTTTTAAATTTCTTTTATGTAAATACTATTAATTACATTTTGTTAATCTCAATTACCAGTAAAACTATGTGAGCATTTGTCCAGAAAACAAGTATACGTATATATTATATCTTCATTTGTATGTGGTTAAAGTATGAAACTAACATCGCATGTAATGTAATGTAATGATTAAAGTAATTGAAATTATTGTAGTAATTAAAAGACAATATGGGTTTATATGCGGCAGTTGTCCGTATCTGATTAAATATTTCGAGTAATGCAATGTAATTACTAAAGTAATTAATAAGTAATTTGATTATATTTTTGGCTTCTTTTGATTACTATCCATCACGTTGCTAATGACAAAAAACAACAGTTTTTTTTTTAATTCCTATTACGTAAATACCATTAATTACTTTTTGTTATTCCCAAATACCAGTAAAAATGCTCACATACATTTGAAAAAAACAAATATACGTATAAACTTCATTTGTATGTGGTTAAAGTATGAAACTAACATCGCATGTAATGYAATGTAATGATTAAAGTAATTGAAATCATTGTAGTAATTAAAAAGTAATTTGATTACGTTTTTGGTTTGATTACAAACAAATATGTTCATTTATATGCAGTAAGTGCTAGAAATAGAATAAATATAGCGTGTAATGCAATGTAGTGATTAAAGTAATTARAAAGTAATTTGACTAAATTTTTGGGTTTTCTGTAGGTACGAGTACTATCCATTAGATTGCTAGTTACAAAAAACAACAGTTTTTTAATTCTTTTATGCAAATACCAGTMATTACATTTTTGCCAAGAAAACTACGTGTACCTTTGTCCAAAAACAAGTATATGTACGTATGTATGTTCTTTTATATGTAGTTATAGTTTGAAACTAACATCGCATGTAATGCAMWGTAATGATTAAAGTAATTGAAAAATAATGAATTACATTTTTAATTACCAGATTACTATCCATTACTTTGCTGATTGCAATGTTTTTTAATTATTTCTAATTAGCATTCATTTCTATTTCTTTAGGTATAAGAACAAAAAAATTAAAGTCATGAAAAGATATCGATGTAATCCATTAGTTCCTTTTATCCATGTGCGCATAACTTTCTAGTACTTTCCAGCTATTGCATTTGGTATTTGCGGARGTGACCATATACAATAAATCCTAATTTATTAATCAGGGAATCTCTTTAAATTTCTATTGCAATTGAGCCTTAAAGTGGGCTTAGGCGAAAGTTGTCATTAAAAGCAATTTAAGAAGCACTGCAATCTTAATTGCAGTCAATTGTGGCATCATTATGGAATAATTTCTGCCGACAGACAATGAGTTCATCGGAATGTGGCAAGCCAAAAACAAAAACCAAGAACAAAAAAATTAAGCAGTGAAGAAATGAGTTCATAAATAGACGCGTAATTCAAATGAATTTATTGTTGTTGTATTCGGGGCTTACGACTGTCATTCACATAATGCGAAGAACTTTGAGAAAAAGAGAAACTTGAAAAGAATCAAACACACTCATAAGCAGATGAAAATGTACTCGAAAAAAGCTTAAATTACTCTTAATATAATTACATAATAATCATAATATCAGTTCTCAAAGCCATTAACGCATTTTCGTATTTTTC